CACTACCTGATGCATCTCTTGATCCTTCACCCGATTCACTTCTTGACCTGTCTCTTATACACATCTAGATGTGTATAAGAGACAGATGCCACTGGATCTGCGCATACTTATATGGGAGCAACTCTGCCTCGATTGGAAAATTGGTATACGGATTCCACTCTAAATTCTGGCAATTGAAGTGGATTTTTTTTAATTTTGTGGTGAAACTGACACTGCGCCTTGAGCACCATTGATGGAGATGTGCGCATTATAAATCTTTATTATTATTATTAATATTATTATTATTTTAAATAGTTTTTTCTTCAATTTGAATATATTTCATCATCATAATGCAATACCTACCATATGAGCGACGCTTTAGCAACTCCATTCTTAAGAAACATCCACCATCAGAACACTGACTCACATGAAGTTTCACATATTGAGCTGTTATTCCATTTTGGAACATGTTGATTTTACGATCATATCGTGTTGTAACATCAGATCTGAATGTCTGGGAATATTTAACACAAAGACGAGTATTAATATGACTGTTCGAGCACTGCATCTACCAAAATTAGATTATAAGAAACGGAGTAGAGTTTGTAGAGTACTATTTACTGAATAATTCTAACTCTCCTTAAGCTGATAAAAACCTGACAAAAGAACTTTTGAAGTCTTGAAGAAAACGAAAGAGTGTTGAATTTACGTACACATATATAATCAGCGGAAATGTAATCAATGGAAATGTCAGTATTGCTTTTCTACTCTCTTATAATTCATTTAATAGAGTGTAGTTGCGGTTAAAGTCATTGGAGTCCTAATTGACTATGGTCAATATAATGTCAACAACCACAGGTATACGTCTAGCCCTACCTCATTCCCGGTCGCATCAACGGCAAATACAAACTCGGAGAATCCGGAATCATTACTTAATCTCAGTCTAAACGCTGTAACCCATCCATCTCGTACCACGTTTTTAGTTCCATCGCCTTGAGTTATGATTCCATAGACATTTTCTCTTTGACCTAGATCTACACTAATCCACGGGTTAGAGTCGTCCGGGTCATTATGCCAAGATGTTTCACCATTTAAACGTGCTCTTTCAGGCGTGTATTCACCATCATCGGATGATGCTTCGAAAGCGTTGTTATGTATTTTGCCTTCATATTCGAGTCCAATGTACTCATACCTGTTCATGAAATATCCTACAATTGAAGAAAATAATTTATTCAAAAATACATTATCTACTTCTTTGGATATGTATTTTGATGGTCAAATAAATAAATGGAATGAAATGAATTACTATATAGTTCCAACATTTTTAAGAGGCTTGTCAAAAATTGGCAATAGTGGTTAATTAAAAGAACAAATAATAACAATGATGATAAATAGTAATAATACTACAATTTCGCGATTTCTTTGTATGTAAAAACCAGATGATTTTTTTTGAAGTAATAATACTTATAGTAATGTTAATAATAATAATAATAATAATAATAATAATAATAATAATAATAATAATAATAATAATAATAATAATAATAGAAAAAAAAATAAATAACAATAATAATAATAATAATAATAATATAAAAATAATAATGTTCATCATTCGACATTAATAAGTTAATATTCCGGTAATCGTGTATATGAACCAAAAAGCGAAACAGTTTAATTATTAAAATATTATCTGCGTTGGATGGTAATTAGCCTCAACCAGACGAATTGAAATAAAATTAAAATATTCAACAACAGATTTGATTAGATTTTGTTACTATTTAGTTTTGTATCACGCATGCATTATGGTAAAATTAAACTATGGAACAAATAATTATTTTTAAGTTAAACATTTTTACTTTAATGGTCCCCAAAATATAATTACATTACCTGATGATCCTTCATCCGATGCACTGCTTGATCCTTCATCCGATTCACTTCTTGATCCACTACCTGATGCATTTCTTGATCCTCCACCCGATGCACCGCTTGATCCACTACCCGATGCACCTCTTGATCCTTCACCCGATTCACTTCCTGACCCTTCACCCGATTCACTGCTTGATCCACTACCTGATGCATCTCTTGATCCACCACCCGATGCACCTCCTGATCCACTACCAGATGCACCTCTTGATCCTTCACCCGATTCACTTCTTGACCCTTCACCCGATTCACTTCTTGATCCACTACCTGATGCATTTCTTGATCCTCCACCCGATGCACCACTTGATCCACTACCTGATGCATTTCTTGATCCTCCACCCGATGCACCGCTTGATCCACTACCTGTTGCATTTCTTGGTCCACCACCGGATTCACTTCTTAACACTCCACCTGATGCACCTCTTGATCCACTTCCCGATGCACCTCTTGATCCTTCACCCGATTCACTTCTTGATCCACTACCTGATGCATTTCTTGATCCTCCACCCGACGCACCGCTTGATCCACTACCTGTTACATTTCTTGGTCCACCACCGGATTCACTTCTTGACACTCCACCTGATGCATCTCTTGATCCACTTCCCGATGCACCTCTTGATCCTTCACCCGATTCATTTCTTGATCCACTACCTGATGCATTTCTTGATCCTCCACCCGATGCACCGCTTGATCCACTACCTGTTGCATTTCTTGGTCCACCACCGGATTCACTTCTTAACACTCCACCTGATGCACCTCTTGATCCACTACCTGATGCATCTCTTGATCCTTCACCCGATTCACTTCTTGACCCTTCACCCGATGCATCTCTTGATCCTTCACCCGATTCACTTCTTGATCCACTTCCCGATGCACCACTTGATCCTCCACCCGATGCACTTATTGACCCTCCACCTGATTCACTTCTTGATCCACTACCTGATGCATCTCTTGATCCTTCACCCGATTCACTTCTTGACACTTCACCCGATGCATCTCTTGATCCTTCACCCGATTCACTTCTTGATCCACTTCCCGATGCACCACTTGATCCTCCACCCGATGCACTTATTGACCCTCCACCTGATTCACTTCTTGATCCACTACCCGATGCATCTCTTGATCCTTCACCCGATTCACTTCTTGATCCACTTCCCGATGCACCACTTGATCCTCTACCCGATGCACTTATTGACCCTCCACCTGATTCACTTCTTGATCCACTACCCGATGCATCTCTTGATCCTTCACCCGATTCACTACTTGACCCTCCACCCGATTCACTACTTGACCCTTCACCCGATGCACTTCTTGATACTCTACCCAATTTGCCCGATACTTTAACCAATGCACTGCCCGATCCTTCGCCCGATTTGCCACTCAATCCACCACCTGATGCACTGCTGGACCCTCCACCTGATTCTATTTTCATAAGAAAATTAAGTTTACGTAAATTATTCTGTTAAAGGGCGCTAATAAAATAATATAATTTTGCCTGTGCTATAACGAAGTTAAACGTTGATTTATTTTCATCCTTTGTGTGCTTGGAGTAAATAAATTGATTTAAGTGAGTTCAAAAATAATAATTGAAAATGAAAAAAACCCCTAAAATTAATACGGTAGAATAATGTTATAAATAAAAAACAACTGTGCATGAGTTATTATGCTTTGAGCATGTCAAGGGTAAACATATCAGAATTTTTATTATTTTGAATAAAAATACGACAAAAAGAATTTTAATTAAATGAGTTTAAGGGCTAGTGCTTAAATTGTTTATATATATATATACAGATATATATATATTCACATATACACACATATATATACAAACACATATATACACATATATAATATACACACATATATATATATGCACATATATAT